GTGTTCAGCCAGCTCCAGGAAAGCAGGGCTCCATCACGCGTAACGGTTACTTGGGAAGACAAACGCCATCACTCTGAAGGTCACCCCTTCCTTCTTCTCCCCCAACTTTATATGCTGAGCATGACATCATATGGTATGGAATATCCCTTTGGTCAGTTGGGGTCAGCTGTCCCAGATGTGTCCGCTCCCAACTTCTTGTGCACCCCCAGCCTGTTCGCTGGTGGGGTGGGGTGAGAAGCAGAGAAGGCCTTGACTCTGTGTCAGCACTGCTCAGCAATAACTAAAACATCCCTGTGTTATCAACACTGTTTTCAGCACAAATCCGAAACATAACCCCATACTACGTACCATGAAGAAAATTAACTCTATCCCAGCCAAAACCAGCACAGTAGTCTGTTATTTACTCTCTGTTGGCATGTTTCATATATAATCTCAGCAGCTGTATCTCAGATGCTTAGCTGTCAACACCTTTAATGAAATATTCAGTAGATCAAATTTTGCCTGTACGTTAGCACACATATAAGCAAGGATTGAATCTACATCAGTTTTACTTGCAAAAATATGGATGTTTTCCTCTCTTGTTGTTATTATTATTATTATTACCCTAACATGAAAGCTATTTAAATTAAAGGACTTAATGTCATTGGAGGTCTTGGACATAAAATAGAACTGATTCTTTCTAATCTGTAGACTGTTCCACAAGTACTATTTAGGAACCAGTAAGTATTTAGACTGTTTCATGTGTTGGATTTTGACTTAAGCCTCATCCTTCATCTGTTGATGGTATGATGAAGTTCCCAGTAGTATATGGATGAAGTACTATACAATCAATTCTTGTTTTCCCCTTCTGAGGGACTGGGAATGTGCCTGCAGCAGCTTGTCATGAAGTCCAGCATGCGTCACTTGCCCTGGGGGGAATGAAGAAGAGACTGCCAGACCCATAGCTCCTCCCTCCTCTGAAAGTAAGGCATTAGTAACTTTGCAATTGGTCTTTCTTCTACACTCCAACTTGACTTTGTGCATTAGCAGGATGCATATTCATGTGAGGGGAGGAATATCGGCAACATCTCTGCCTATATTTCTCAAGAGTAAAGAACTTACTGTGGTAGAGGGATGAAAAATGGACTGTTAATTGTATTGTTAAAGCAAAAATGCCTGAGGGCAATTTAACACCTAACAGTTGTTCTATACAAGAGCAAGAATGTAAACGTTTATTGTTTGCTTTAGAGTATCAACAGTTCAAACAGCTAGGAAAATGTACTGTTACACCTTCTGAATATAGAGGGTGTAAGTACACATTAGACACATACTTTGAATTACTGATAGCTTGGGCTTTACAGAGCTAAAGAACAAAGAAATACACTGAGAGACCGTCTGAATCATGTTCAAAATAAAACACTCCCTGTATTTGACCCTAGAGGTTTATAGTTGCATTCTTTAGTTTATCCCAATCTTTGGCAACGTTCCTAATTTGTGAGTAATACCCCTGCAAAAACTTTGAGCGTCTTGCTTTTATGCTGTAAGGTTAGTCTATAATTCATGAAGGGGATTATTCCTTGCAAAAGCAAAATTATTTTTTCCCAGGACCCAATTTTAAAACCAGAAATATATGAGATTAGAGATTAACTAAACCAATATAAAAACATATAGCTTTTTGTGCTCTATTTTAGTATTGCTTTTATAATTAAAATATCCCATAGCAACATAAACCAATGTTTTGAAAGTACAAAGACACTTAAATATGTCTGCTTTTCAAGAGTGCTGAGCACTTACAATATAGCAACATTATGAGAAGTGACTGCTCAGTACTGTTGTAATGAAGACTGCTAAATTCAGAGACTGTGTTTGAACAACCTGTCCCTCAGCATCCAGAAGCAATATTCAATTAAAGGACTCCCTCCATCGAAAGATGCCTCTTGCAGGTCTCACAGAGGGCTTTCAAACCTGCCATTTGAGTAACAACTTTAAATTCCCCAACTTTTTTCCCTCATAGATGAAAGCAAGATCTGAAGGGAACATGAAGGTCAATGGTGGCACTTTCTTCATTTAGGGCCATCAGTTATGAACTTTTGCTTCCACTGGGAACTTAAGTAAGTTGATCTTTCCTACAGAAAAACAAAAAACCCCAAGCACCTGCCTGCCCCATTTTCTCCACTTCAGCGTGCTCTAATTGTTGCTAAGAGGACTAGAAATCGCTAAGGAGGTATTTAAAAATTGTCCTGTACTTCGAATCCCCATTTCACCTGCCTTGGAACAGGAATTTGAATCCAACTTTCAGATGTCCTAGACTAGCAATTTAATCTGCAGAGTATGAACTATTTGAGACTCCTGAAATGTCTCCTGTTGGGTTTTTTCAACACCATATGCCAGATTAAATATTCATTGGCACAAGAATTTGAACATTTCATCTTGCTAATAACTTACCTTTATATTATATAGTTACATACTTTCCGCCTTTTCTGGCTACCACTCTTCCCCTCTCCCCTCATTTTGCCAGCCAGTGATTATTTATCATTTCATACTAATGTAAATTCAAGTGGGATTTGATGAAAAAAGTGCATGCTATGAGCCACTTAAAAAAGCACTTCTTGCTTAAGTCTCTCTGTGGATCTAGCCCCAGATACCTACATTTCCATGTAGGTACCATGCTTGAGAGGAGTTTTAGACAAAGGATCAGACTATTATTACTTTCTGAATGTGTTTTCTAAAGCAAGTAAAAAAAGATTTTTCTTAGTGGCATATTTCATATTTAGTTGTAATATTTTTCATAATAAACAGCAACAAAAATATTATCTTTTTATGAAAATTTTGAAGGTAGAATTAAGAATATCAGAAACAGATACCATTGACATGGACAGTAGATTAGCATTCTTTCAAGAGGTGACTCACTTCCCATTTAGTAATGGATGGCATTCGATGAGTAAGATGGTGCTTTGAATGAGGGAAGATATTATGATCTAGCAGATTATTTGAAACAACATTTGAAATCTGAAATAAAATCCTTCTGAAGTCCAGCAGAAGACTATCATTGCCTTAGAACATTATGGTTAAAGTCCAAAAGCTGCCACTTTTCATTATTATCAGTTCAATATTTCTTTTCAGATAAAAATTGTAATGTTTATATTGTTATTTACTGTAAAAATAGAGCCATAATCGACTTTACTTTTAGGGATCTTTCCCTTTTCCTTGTCTTCTGTAGACCTTCTTTGCTGTCACTATTAGGCAACACTCTAGATTGTGCAAACAGCTGATCTCAAAACTGAGAAAGCCCAAATTTTCATTGAAAGTAACAGTAGAATCATAGAATCATAGGGACATGGTTTAGTGGGCATGGTGGTGTTGGGTTGATGGTTGGACTCGATGATCTTAGAGGTCTTTTCCAACCTTAATGATTCTAAGTGCCGCATCTTCACATCTTTTAAATACTACCAGGGATGGGGACTCA